CAAGGCTCGCTACCCGTGACACATCGGGTTGTTAAGGGGGCCAAGCTCACGTTTCCTTGTCACACCCCTCATTTTCCACCATTTCCATTTCCACCTCAACCCCTCCCTTTCGCTCCTTGTAGCTCTATCTCTTTCACTGAGTTGCCCAGTCATTTGTGTTTAACTTGTCGCTACCCAGCAGGGTTAACTTTAAATGGGTAATATAGTAAAGTTGGTAATATAGCTAAATGTATGTTATGTTAAATTATAATATATTATTATATTATTAGAATTAAGAACTATAAGGTTAGGTTTTTTTAACATGTTCTTTATAATGACATTAGGGTACCATTAATAATATGATATTATAACATTCTCAAACAAATTCAAGAACTGTTTTATAAGTTCACTAGGAGTTTATTAAAATGTTCTATATAAAACAAAAATTAAAGGAAAATACGAACCAACATTAATTTGTAATTACTTAAATTATTTTAATCAAACAAGTATATCAGGAAACCAGATTATGTTGATAAGGATTCTTGCTTGTAGGCACAATGGTATAAGGTATAATAATTTTAAGTGATTGTGGGGTATCCCTTTGTCTCTTAATTTCTGGGATTTCCCCAGTGGTTGGTTGACTTGGTTTAATGTTCGCCTTTCTGTGGCAACTAACTGACGACCGCCTCGGCAACGTCATCATCCCCATTAACCACCCACCACCCAACACCCACCCCATCATCATCATCATCATCGTTCAATGTTCGTTTTATTATGGTGAAGTGCTGCCTGCGTCGACGTCGCAGTCGGCAGCTGCCCCACAAAATATAAAAAAAAATAAAAAAAAAAGAAAAGAAAAACCAATGTGCGCCCGCAAAAGCAAATAAAACTTTATCATTTGGGGAAGCCCTGCGCTTTCATAGACTTGCCTTGAATGTGTGCGTGTGTGGGTGTGTGCATGTACACACATATATATGTGTGTATTTGGGTGATGAAGAACTTTGGCCAACACACACACACATGTATTTTTGCCTGGTTTTTCCTTTCCTTTTTTCCAGCTGCCAACTTTTCCCTTAATTTCTTGTTTTTATTTTTTCTGTTTGTTATTGCCCTCTGTATATGTATATATATACATATACGTTTTTCGCAGGTCCTTTGGCTACAGGTATGGGGTTTTATTTTGGTCTGAACTCATAGGTAAAGTTGGGCCCTGGATTTCGCTTTACGTTTATTTATTTTCCTTTTATTTTCGTTCTGTTCCTTGTTTTCCTCCATGCTTTTTAGGGTCTTTTTGTGACCTTTTTAGTGGTCGGAGGGGGGTCATGACAGTAGAGAGAATTTTCTGGGCGTGGCTGCCTCCTACAACAGTTGCCTAAAAGGCGTCCCAGGAAAACGCTGGAGTGGAGTGTTTGTTTATGGCCATGATATGGCACAGAGAAAGGGGGTTAGCCAATTTGGCGGAACGGGTAAGTTGTGACTCAGGAAATTGAATTCGCTTAGGCTGTGTTGCGTGCCTGGGGGCCAGATTTTTGAAAAATTGATAGGCGTAAGGAAGGTTATTTAGGGGTTTGAGAGAAGAGATTATATAGGAAAATTCTTAAAAAAGGATTATAAATAATATCCTTGATGAAAAGGTGCCAATTCGAATCTTATGTATGTGTACTAAGCCTTAAAAACTGGAATTATAATAACACCAACACAAATCGAGATACAAATCTGAGCATTTAATCCCAAACTTAAACCGTAATTGATCCCCACTTCAAGCACCTAATCCCGAATCACTAACGGAATCAGAGCAATCAACAAATGGAAACGGTCTCTATTATGGCCACACCTAGACCTACATAGGCAGTTACCTAGCACTTAAGAACCCCGAACCCCCACAAAAAAACCCATGCCCACCTCACCAAACCCATTTTTCCAACCCCGTCAACATAATGCAAAGCAACCCCATCTGAAAGGCAAAAACTACGCAAACTAAAAGGCTTTTCTTTTTCTTTTCCATTCGAAATGGAAATGGAATGCGAACGGGGGCCAAAGGCAAAGTTGCCAAAGGGAAACAGAAACAAAGGTAGCGATGGAATGAAAATACTCTGAAATAAAAGTGCGGGGAAATGCCAGCCGCAGGGAGTGGGTGGGATTTCCTCAACCAACTTCGTATGCCACCAACTCCCAGACTCCAACTCTTCAATTCCCGAATCCCCCGTCATAAATTATCCGCACAATGGCCCAGAGCCACGGCAAAGGCAAAGGGGGAAAAACAGTACCCAGAACCCAGAGCAAAGTCTATTTTAATTTTGACGTTGTTAGACGAAGGCGAAAAGAGATTACAGCGAAGTCACTGGCAACGCAATGGCAAAGGCAACGGCAAAGTCAAAGACAAAGCCAAAGCCAGCTTAAGTGTTCCAGCCCAGTCCCCCGGCACCCTAACCTCTAAGCTCGAACTCAAAACCCCCACCCAAACCTAAACGAAAACCCATAGCCATTGCCGTCCCCAAACCGAAACCAAAGCCATCGGCAGCTTGAACTCAAGGCGTAGCCAAGTGAGACTCCAGTTCTTTGAACATGTTGCGCCTGGTACAGTGGAAACTCTAGAAATACTTGGTTTTTATAAATTCCAATTATGTTGTGGGGTTTTCCCCTCTTTAGAGAAACATATTCTTTAAAAAACGTACTTTTTCAACTTCCTAACAGTATTGTTTTGGGAACACGGAGATATATGATACATGATATATGATATATATGATATATATCTTTAAATGCATATAAAAATATTATTAATATATAATATAAATATATATTCATGATAAGAAAATTCTGTTACTCCAAAAAACTTTCCTATAACCGGTTCTTTTAATACGGTCTTGTAATATTATTGTGAAGATAAGTTAAATATCGTATTCTATTTTCTTCACAATGTATTCATAAATATATTTTATAAAGCTATTTTGTACTGTTTTAAGAGTCTGGAATCTTTTGTATGCCTTCATATTTTATTCATTAAAGTCGATTTCGAATTTATTAAACGTCTGAGTCCATATTAAGTTTTACATTTATTATGGTTTATTGTTTAAAATTCTCTCTTTATCTTAAATTTTTCTCAACATCACAAAACAATCTTTTTGTTTATGCATAGTATTTCCATGAGTATCGTAAATACAGTTCGTCCTCTCTTTATGAAGTATCAAAACCCCAAGAATGTGCACACTGTATCCGCCCAACGAGGAATACTTGGCATATATCAAAAGGCAGGCACAGCACACTTGTATCTCATTTGGCAAAAGTATCTGAGGGTGGCGGGGTACTTTGGTACACAACAAAGTATCTAGCTTTTTAATAGGTTCAAACTGTGGCATGAGTAACGCAGCAGAGAGCAACTTGACTAACAGGCCGCGTGACGTGATGCCAAGTATCTTTGGGATTGCGATTGTGGATGTCGGGTATCTGCATCTGTATCTGTATCTTTGTATCTGTGAGCTGCCTGTTGAGCGGGTGAGCAGCGCCAAAAGTTCATGACGCTGGCTGAGCTTGATTTTCTGCCCATTTTACATGGGGCGATTCCGACTGGCTGGCAAACAAGCTGCCTTGTTTGCGTCTGTTTTTCTGTTTTTCTGCTTTCTGTTTTCCCCGTTTTCTGTTTTCTTTTTTTTCCCTCTGCTTTCTGTTTTTCCGTTTCTGGCTTTTGCCCATTTCGTTTGTGCTTGTGTTTTTGTTTTTTGTTGTTATTTTTGTTTTGTTTGCCGTTGCCCGAGTGTATGTATGTTTGTTTGTTTGTTTGCTCGCCTTTTCTGTGCGCTGGGGGATTACGTAAGGGAATCCCCAACATTTTGCAGCGCGCGCGCCAACGCAGCTGAAATGAAATGATAACGGGTGGTTGTGGGTGGTTGTGGGTGGTGGGCGGTGGGTGGTTTACAGGGTGACAGGGCGTGGGCGCAATGCAATGAAAAGTGACTACTGACGCTGTTGTTTCATGCTTTATGCCTGCTCTCCCTCTCGCACTCACTCGTGGGCGCAAATAATAATGCAAAAAATGTATCTTATAGATACAGCCAAAGGTTCCAAGTGGGGGCGTGGCTGAATACTACTTCCTTAATTATATACTTTTTTCCTTTGAGTCACGATATAAAAAAAAACACTGCACTTGACGAGATTCTTTCATATTGAAGTGGCTGCAAAGGCTGGTAGATAGGGATATTAGTGCCTCGCCATATGGCAGCTTTGAAACTCGACGTCCTTGAGCGGAGGCAAAGTTCTGGCAAGATACGTAGTACTCTTTTTATATCTAATACGTATCTATAGACAGGTTTGGGTAATATTATATTTAAAACATATTTAAAATGTAAAATGAAAGAGGGGTTGAGTGACCTCATAAGTATTGTTTAAATATTTAAATGTCAAAATTTGGTTATTGTGCCTTTAACTAGTTTTAAGTTCAAGCGAATCGAATAAAAATTTACATCTATGCATAGGGCAAATAAAAACCAAACAGTTGACAGCTGAAGTTAAGGTGGGGGTTGTAAAAAACTAGTTCAATTTAGATTTTTCTGCCTTTAAATCAAGAGTAAATGTTGAAAAGACATAAATTGAGTCAATATTTCAAAAATAATTCTTGAGACAGTATCTGTAAAGCTTCTTATATACAACAAGTTTACAGAACAGCTCACAATCTTATGGTAAATTCGGAAATTCTTATTATTTCGCCCAAGATTGATTACGATTTTTTGAAATTTAAAGAAATGGTAAATATTAAAAAGACCTTAATGGAGTCAAGTTTTTTTTATATAATCTTAAAATTGAACTTGACTTTTTACTTAGGGAAAGTTTACAGAACAGCTTAAAATCTTTCGGAGAAGTCAAGTTTTTTTCAATAACTTTAAAACTGAATCTTGTTGGCCACTTATTAACGGAAAGTTTACAGAACATCTTACAATCTTTCGTTAGAGTCAAAAATTCCTGTTATTTCGTTGGCATATTTTCGAGCTCAAGTTTGATTTAAATAATTAACAAGAAATTCCACTTACTGCCTCGACCGCTGCCCTTGCGTCGCGCCATTTTCCCCTCCTATAAGTATGGTGTCCTGTTTTTTGCGCTTTTCCAAGAGTCCAAGAGTCCGAGTGTCCGTGTGTCCCTCGTCCTTTCACATGGGACAACTGCTGGAAATTAGGATCCTTGCGCTTGACTGATGTATATTTAATCAGTGGCCGCCCAGCTGGCACGCCCACTTGCGACACTGGTTTGTTTGTATGGCACAACGACAGCAACAAAGACTCAGCTTTGTCAGCATGTACGTGTGTGTGTGAGCGTCCTTGACGCACACAATGACAGACGTCCTTGTTGGTCTGAGAGTGTGTGTGAGCTAGTGTGTGTGTGGCCTGGATCCCGGTTCACTGGTATTTGCCAACTAGACAAATAGAGGAGCCATGGTGTCCAAGTTCCTGGTATTATCCTGATATGCCGTTTTTGCCTGTCGACCTGGTGGAGATTGCAACCCGCTGGCTGGCATCGCTGCGCTATCCTTGCGAAACCAGCGTATCCGTATCCTTGATCGCCGTAAATGTGCTATATAAATCCATATGGTGGGGTTATCCTCTGTGTGTGTGTAAAATACTACGAAATGTTTTTGATATGCCGTTTCGATCCGTTTTGTGTTGTGGTAGGTTGACTTTTGATTTGTATTATTCTGCAGACCCTGCGTATACGCAATATTCGAAACTAATTCGCGCGCGCGGCAAATTCTTTCAGAAATTATGTATCTTCCTTATCAACTACATATACATATATATCTCACTTTAATTTTTATATATATTTTCTTTCTTTCGAAATATGCATTTTATATGGGCTGTTGCGGAATCTATTTATAAAACGGTCGTGTATTCACCATGCGATTTGCGTTTCGATTCGATTCGAATTTGATTTGATTTTGTTGCTGGCTTTTTTGCGCATTTACCGAGAATTGCGAGAAGCGCGCGAAAACGAGAGGCGTGCGTCGACGTCGGCGTTCACGGACAAACAGAGCCAGCGAGAATCCGTTAGGCCCCCAAGACCCCAAGTGAGCTCTCTTGCGGCGCCGAAATGAGCTTGTAAGAGCGCGCTCTCACTGGCTTTCAATTCGCTCTGCCTTCCGTTTTTAGTTGAACGTCTGCCTTTCAACCTTTCTGTTTACCTTTTTTCTTTGCTCACTCGAAGAGAGTCGAAGAGAAAATGGGTATGTTGACTAAGAGAAACCACCTTATCAAAAGCACCCACCCACACAGATATTGTTGTGTGTGGCCAGAGCTTAAATTTTAATGGCCGTAGCTCTAGATAAGGGTTAATACTTTGGCTTTACGAGACTTAAGAACCGATAAAGCAGACCCCCAAGGTTTTATCATTATAGTTCATTAGTTAATCCGCACTGTTGACAAATAAGATACAAACTTGAAAATGCCTAAAAGTATGCAAAGCTTTTTGACATCTTGCTTGTAAAATATTTTGAAATTATGTATGTAAAAGAGAATAGTCGGATTAAAATTTAATACTTATTAAGAGTGTATATTTATTCTACTACAAATGTTTATTTTTTACATAAGCATGTTTAAATATTTTGCTTAGATTTTTTAATTGACTTCAAATCATGAAAAATTATCACATGAATTAGCAATCAGCATAGTTAGTAAGCATCTATCTATCTTGAAAAGCTTTTAGCAAGTTTAAAACTTATAATGTTGAACGCTCAAAATTAAAAAAAAAAGTTTTTAACTTTTTAATACAAAAATTTTTTTTTTTGTTGTTTTGGAAACGAATTATAACAGAAAAGTGTAGTTATTTATTAAACAGATCTCTAAATTATTAACAATTTGATTATAAAATAGAGAAAACTTAAAGTTTAAGAAGGTGAAGCTTTTACAGAATTGTTGAAGTCTCTCAAACATTTATTTTTGTATTATTTAGTATGGCATTTATTTATTTGATTCCCCATTTTTTTAGCCAGTTTTTCACTATGTATAATTTTTAAAATTTTAGTATTTTTTTATTTAATTAAAATCTTTAATAATGTTTGTTTACATGAAACGTACATTTAGGTGTCTCTTATTAAAACAAAATCTTTAATAATTTTTGTTAATTAAATCATAATTTTTGTATCTTTTACTAAAATAAAATCTTTGATAATGTTTTTTACTTGGAACATAGCCACCCACTAGTTAAACGGATGGGTTCCATCGAAGCCGAATAAATGGAGGTGTCCAAGACAATGAGATTGCCATTATTGTTTCCGATTCAATGCAGACAGACACTGTGGGCCCAGCCAAAAGCTGTTCAAAGCGTAACGCCTCGTAACGCCTGGTGTCGAAGGGCTAAAGTAATGCGGTGTCAAAGGAAATTATATGCTGTGCGTAAATATATAAACCAAACAAAAAAAAACAATGAAAAACATTGAATATGTCAAGTGGATGGGAATCTAGATGACAGCTGTGAGAACTCTCAGCCGGAGTGACAAGTAAAAGGCGTGGCCTTGGGCCTCGTTTACCGAGCCTTCACCCAGAAGTACCACCCCCCTTCAATTTAATTCCATATATGTAAGAAGATATACGCCTTGCTTCACTGACTTTCAATAAAGTACTGTGTTTTTCTTTTCAGAAAATTTCACAAATCATCGATATTTATTAGAGCTCACTCTAATCGCATCACTCATCCTCTCACCCAGGGCTATACCCACTCCCACCCCATATAGTATAATCCATCCTCAATGAAAATTAATATATATATTATCTCCGAACAGCTGGTCTTTGTTTACAATTTCCTATAGCGAGCGCAGGCGCCGTTAGCCGGCTAGAAAGCTTTCCAGTTCCAGTGCGAAAGTACTTCGAAAACTGGAAGCTGGAAGGGAGGGGAAATTCGAAGAGCCGAACACTTTGGCGCCAAATCAACCTCGTCCGTCGGCATTTCACTCGCAGTCGGAAAAAAACAGAGCGCGTGAAAGGATCAAAAGGCGGATCAACTAAACCGGTTTTGTGAAAAATTAACAAACAAATTTTAAAACAAAAAAAAAATTTTGAAAAACTTAATTCCAAATATTTGTTTATCCAAACATAAAAGTGTTTATTTACCAACTAAAATGTAAACACACAAGTTCCAAACAATAAAAACTAACAAAGAATATAAAACGCAAATGTGAGTGCGCCATAAAATGAATGTTCAATTATCATGAAATTTAAAAATCATTTGTATTAATTGACTCGAAAAAGACAAAAGAAATAAAGCCAACATAACGACAACTTTTTTGCTAATTGAAAACTCGCCAAATAATGAAAAATATTCTTTATATCGACTTATGCAAGCCCAGAAAAAATTACACTTTTTATTTACTCATTGAAAAACCGCGAGAAAATGCAAACAAATATTTTAATTGGCAATATACATAAAAGAATACCTGATAATTAATAACTGTTTGATGTTTAATACCTTCGTTCTTGGAATCAGTATTATTATTATTTATTTAATCAATTTGTCGGCGCATTTAATTGTGCTCCACCCAATTATCAAATATGACCGTAATTGGCTTCTTGTAACTTTTTGTTTCGAATTTTTTCTGGCCAGTGCACAAAGGGTTCATTTCAATGTCAAATTGGTTTAATTTTGACCCTTCAAATTAAATATGAGACACAATTTCAGGAAGGTTGAGGTTGTGCAAAATAAAGAGTAATGGTGCTGTAATGGGGCTTAAAAAAGAAAGATAATAAAAAAGAAAATAATATTCGGTCAGAAGGGAATACTTCAGATTACAACCAAGTTTTTAAGACATGCTAGTACCTATTTTTGAAGGTATTTTTACTTTGTTAATATAAGCTCCATAAAAAGTGAAAGGTCGAATGGAAAGTTTACACATTTATAGGATCATATTTCCTGAATTCTTTTGTTAACGATTGCTTAAAGTGAAATACAACTTTAAGTATACAAAGGGCATTGAGTAATATCAAAGTTTGTGAATGTTAAAGTTTGCTGTTAATTTGACAAAGGTTTCATTTGGTTTTTAAGTAAAAATAATAATCCGAACCCTTTTTGGAATTCACAAGGGTATGCCAATTTAATTAGGTTCATTTCTGTCATCACTTTTGGATGATAAAAGGAATAAAAAGTTATGGGTGGACGTGCCCAACATTTTGTTACTTAATGGAGGCAAACTATTTGTGAACACGGATACCCAAAATGTTCCAACTGGTGCCGAACCACAAATTCCGCCTTTGAATGCCTGGCTGTTAAATGTTCTGTATTTAATTGATCATATGCATAATTTAGGGAGTCTTTGGGGGGGGAGTGGATGTTCGATGCCTTCGCTGTTGTTATGGACGTGTATACTTGACCACGCTTTGGGCCAAATGGGAATTCAAGCGAACACGAAATATCAATCTGCAGGCGGAAATCCAACCACAATAGGAAATTGATGCCTTCGCCCATCGCCAAACCCACCCAAAAAGCTAAACCGCACTCGGCAGAGGATACATGGATCACAATTCGGTGTGGCTGTTGCTTGTGGAATGCTTAAGTTGAATTTATTGCGAGTTTGTGGCGCCTTCATTGTGGGCACATCAAAGTAACACGCTCCGAACATAAAAGAATAAATTAAACGTAGATGAAAAAATTCTCAAAAAAAAAACACAAACAATTTGGAAATGGAAAGTGGGACTGTTTTTTTAGCTTACACACAATGGCGTCAGCATCCCAATTCCATATCCTATATCCCCAGGAACATCAGCATGAGGTGACATCGCTGCTGGAGGGTTTTTAATAAGTCGAGCCTTGCGGCACGCCATGTGGCATTTTAATATTGCATAAAATTCGAGGCTGGACAGGAAACTGCTTCTGCTGTCCATCTACGGACTTCATTATCTCGAATTACCAAGGCCAAAGTCTAAATTAAATAATAATAATGCTTGCATGACGCTTGTACTTACATAAAGATCCTGCCCCAAACAGCGTATTTTCACCCAGCAAATAAATCCCAATTTATGTGCCTTAAATTTGGCCATTAAGCCATCAGACAGTGGAGACAATTTATGATGGCAGTAGCTAGGAGTTAATTAGCCATCCCAGAAGGACTTCAAGTTTTTGGCTAGGTTCGGTGATTGGTTTCCGTCATCGGGACAATGGACATCGAAGGGATTTGTCTCATTAGGCGGCTTCCTGCTGTGTCATTTAACTTTACTGAACTACTGGTGAATTGACAACAGTGAGTAATCAGTTTTTGGCAGGGGAAATATGGGCATTTATAAATATTAGGAAATGGTTTGACATGTAATTACGTAGGTAGGCTTAAAATAATCCCTTTATAATAGCATTGAACAGAAAAAATCTTAATACACAAATGAAGTTCAACATTTTCTTTAATTAATACTTCTAAGAATTATTGTCCATTCATATATTTATATTTATGTAGAGCAGAGCTAGAGGGTTTGGTTTTTTGGCTTAAATAAATTTCGGGTTATAAAAACACTTGTTTGTGCTTCGGAAAAAAAGGAGCAGGGCGTAATCCGTTTTAGGGCTGGGAAAAATTGACATTCACAATTATTAGGAAATGACTTGACAGGTATTTACCTAAGTAATCCCAGCTTTGTATAAACCCTTTATTCTAGCATTGAAACAGAAAAAAAAACGTAATACATAAAGGAAATTCAACATTTTCCTCAATTATTACTCCTAGGAATTATTGTATATTCATGTGCTTACATTTGCTTAAGAAAGAATCAGAAGTCTTGGTTTTTTCGGTTTACTGGGTTATAAAAATCCTAACACATAAAGGAAGTTCAACATTATCTGCTTTTTTTTAATACTCCTAAGAATTATTGCATAAACATATACATATGTACTTATTCATATTTATAAAGAGTTAAATCAGGGGGCTTGGTTTTTTGTGTGCAATATTTCATCCGAAATATTTGGCACACCAGGATTATAAAAACAATTTTTTTCGCTGCGAACCAGATACGTGTAATCATTTTAAAAAGAATTGGTAGCAAAAATATACATGAAATCATTTTGAGCAATCAAACGCTATTTTCAACCAATTGATTGTTCTCCATTTGCATTTTTTCAAGTGCTTTTGGTTAAAGGTCGACTGCAAAGTAAAGTTTTTTCGATATATTTTGTAGGTCTTTAAATATTGGCAGAGTAAGAAATTCAAGCTAAGAACTTCTGACTCAAATTGTAGCAAAAAAGTAATGAGCCTTTATTGCGCATTTTCAAATAATACTGAATTGGAATAGAATCTGTTTTATAGAACTACATGGAAGAATTTATTTATATTTCATTACATCCATTGAACGAATCAAAACAAGGGTTTCACATTAAGGTTTCAGTAAGTGCTTTAACTTGTTTTTTGTTATCTCGCCTTCTATTTTGTATCTTAGCTTGTGTGTAATCAATCCTCTTGATGATGCCTTTGAGTGGAATGAAGCGATTTTTCTTTGAATCACACACTGTTGTTTGAAAAGGATGATATCAAATCAGCCACTATTTTATTTTTGGTATTGGGTCCTCCGAAATGATTTTTAATATAATTTGTCGTACCAAATCATCAACTTTATGCTGCAGTGTCACTAATTGCTTCAATTTAAAACTGTTTTCCGTGTGAATTGCGAATGTTTTTCCGGTACCGGTTAAATAAATAACTTGTTTGCTCTTCTGAAAAACACTTAGCATCTTTTTCCATTCCCGCATTTTTGATACGACTGGATGCTTTTCAACAAGGCGCTGAGTGCAAAGTGTAAACAATAAACAATTTTCGAGGTTTTCGCAGATGTCTGTGTACATAAGAGCCCCCACCCACCCTACATATAACAACCAGCCACCCATCACACACCCAGCCCACCAATCCAATACTCCCACTCGGCGTCCCCAAAAACAATACGAGCACATAGTAGTGTATCTCTCGAGATTTCGCCGTGGTTTCCTTTGGGCCTGTCCAACGCGTGGCGCTTTTCCTCGGTATTTTTCTCTCTATAGTCCACTGCTCTTCTCTGACTTTTTGCTTTTTCGGGGAATGCTTTAAGGTTGAAGGTTAATTTATGGATATGTAGAAAGATTTGGCATTGTTGGACCCCACTTTGCTAGCCAATTTACCTGAGGCAAGAATAAATAAAAAAGCATACAAGAAATTAATTTTTTTTCCAAAAGAGATTATTCGAAGACTTAGTACCTTCGGTTTTGCAAGCACATATGTAGAAATTTTTTTATCCTGTGAATGGCGAATGGCTACACTAATAACGTGATATTTTTGTCAAAAAAATTGGTCACACTGTTATTATATATATATATCAGTTATTAATATCAATACTGAACTGCTTTTTTGGGGAATTAATGATATTTTTGTATCGAATTATTCGAAGACCTAATACATTCTGTCCAGCAATCAAATTTGAGAAACTCGAAAACGTCAACTGCCCTTATGTTATCTTGCATTAAAAATAAGATCGGCCACACTAAAACCATGATTTCTTCAAAAAATTGGTAACACTGTTAATATACAAAATTAAATTTTAACCGATGGAAACCCCCTTTTTGACATAGGTAATTTGACTGCAAGCAATTTGCTTACCATTTTCTTACCCCCCCATTTTGTTAATTGATTCCTTGAAATCGATATACCCCTCGACGTACCGTTTGAATATTTAAACATAAAAGTGGTTTGCTTTAGCACCCAATTTCAGAGGAGCAATTTTATTTATTGTCCATTTTAGATGCTCACCTTTTGGCAAAGGGTCTCAGGTGGGGCAACGTTTGAACTTTATAACGCGTTTATTTGTTGTTCTTGCCGTTCTCACTCTATTCAATTGTTTCTGTTTTTTTACCAATGAATTTTCGCTGTTTTATTGGTGCGTGCTGGCATTCATTAGCATTGAACGTCTAGCCGTCTGAAGTTTGAATATAAATTGTCTAATGGGGCCAGCGGGCATTGATAATTGTATTTTATGTCGCGGGGATCTCTCCTGTCAAACCGCCCCTCTCAAATGGCCATTTCTTTTTTAAGTGGGAGTAGTGAAAGTCAAGTATTTGGTTGCCCACATAAAAAGGACATTACCAAATGACCATTACTCAGCAAAAATATGTAATGATAAAGAAAAAAAAAACGGGGACTAAATTGACTACCATTTCTCCTACGTCAATATTCCGGTTTT